TTGGGAGCTTTGACCACAACCCAGTCACACAATCAATTAAAAGCAATTTAAAATCATTAAAAAACATTTGAATTTAGTTAGTTTTTTCATATTAATTGCATCAGCATTGCAAGTAGTGAATATGGTGCACAAACTTTAGAAAAAACACTGCCCGCCTGAGTCGTGTGAGCTGTGGTAGCGCAACCAAGTTCTGTGCACGGCTGGTCTCTCGATGGAGCGCACGTTCTGCAGCAACTGAGGGAAGCAAAAGCTCAGCACTTGGATCACGTCCTTTACAGAAGTGATCGAGAACTGCGTCTCGTCCAGACTCGAGAAAGAAAAAAACACTCTGGGATACGATGAAAATGAAATGAGTGAGAAAGGATAAAACATTAGCGTTCAAAAAGGAGAACAGAAATAGGACATTAAGGCCGTTACATCTCTGACTTTTATATAAATCATACAGAGCCAGGAAACCAAAGATCTTAAGCCAAGGTCTTAGGTCGTCTTGGGCAGGCTGTAAAATATCAGAAACTACATTGTCACAGAGTGCCCGCATCCTTGAGTTCGAAGTTCTCTGGGAGGTGGTGGAACTGGTGGAGGCTGCGCAAAGGCCTCGGAACCCCGTGTGATAAATTTAGCATGGTCTCGTCTTGGCGAGGCCGGCTCCAAACAAGAACTGGTATCAGCATCACTGGTCCAATGTCGATGCCACGGCATGTGAGTCATGCCACCCTTGACATTGAAACCTTGAAATTCTTCAGCTGCAAAGCTTCGGGGCCTTCAGCCTTCGGCAAAACTTTGGAGCAAGTTGCGGAGCAAAAAGGTGGTTCAGGAGCTTTCGAAGGAGGTTCGGGCGCACGACTCAAAACAATTTTGCAACCGGCCACGACTTAATTTTGGAATTTGTTTTGTTTCTTTTTTGTTTTTTTTGGTTTTTCGTGCTTCGTGACAGGCGCAGTACTTTGTGGACCTTGCAAAGCACATTTCGGGCAGGTGCAGGACTTTGTGGGCCTTGGAGTGCAGATTTTGTGGCAGGCATAAAACTTTTTGTGGGCCTTGAAGTGCAGATTTCGTGGCAGGTGTAGTACCTTGTGGCCCTTGGAGTGCAGATTTTGTGGGAGGCGCAGGACTTTGTGGACCTTGAAGTGCAGATTTCGTGGCAGATGCAGGACTTTGTGGATGTGGAAGTGTAGAGTTGGTGGCAGGTGCAGGACTTTGTGGGCCTTGGAGTGCAGATTTCGTGGCAGGCGCAAGACTTTGTGGACCTTGAAGTGCAGATTTCGTGGCAGGTGCAGTACTTTGTGGATGTTGACTGCAGAAAGATAGAAAGATTAAGATAGAAAGATAAATGGATAGATAGATAGATAGATAGAGGAGGCATATTTGCTTGGTTAGAAAGTTTTGCACCGGGGAGTTCACCTTGAAATATTGATTTCGTGGCAGGCGCGGGTGTCGGGGATGAAGTGCAGATTTCGTGGCACCGGGGGGTTGGGGGGGGCGCAGCGCCCCCCCAGCAACACACCAGATCCAAAGGTGAGCAGCTCGCGCTTGCTTGTTTGCTTGCTTGCTTGCTTGCTTCCTTGTTTGGTTTCGTCTCTGCAACGAAAACAACAGGAAAAGCAAATGCAAAAACATAAAGGAGAACAGCTGCCAAAAAGAAAGAAAGACAGAAAGATAGATAGATAGATAAATAGATTAGACAGATAGATATAGACAGATAGATGGATAGGCCAAAAAGCCAAAAGCCACAAAAGCCAAAAGCCACAGAAGCCACGAAAGCCACGAAAGCCAAAAGCCTCAAAAGCCAGAAGCCACAGAAGCCAGAAGCCAGAAGCCACGAAAAACAAAAAATCAAAAAAAGGAAACAAAAATCCAAAATTAAATGGCCCTCCCTTTGCAAATGCGCTGACACGGTGATACGTTGACATTCTCATGAGTATTGCTGACGTGTCATCTTGCTTGCTGGCATGTTCTCGTGCGGATGTGCTGTCATGCCGTCAGGCTACCATGCTCATATGGTGTGCGCTGTCACGTCAGCATGTAAGTTGTCACTCTGTGATACTACCTTGCAGACATGTTGACGCGCAAAGGTGTTGTCACGCCAATATGCTGACATGTGTCACATTGGCTTGTTGTGGTTACTGCTGTGATGCGGACGTCGCAAACACCGACATGTTGTCACCCTGAGATGCTGACATCGGGTCATGCTGTCATGCTGGCAGGCTCCAGAAACGGGTTCTCAAGTAGGTTCCCTGGTTCTTTGTCGCGGTGTTGTCATTCTTGCACATATGTGGGCACATGTTCTGTGCAAACATGTTGCCCCGCTGTGCTGCCCGCATGGCACAGGCTCACGTGTGTCAAGGCAGCATCACTTGCTGATGGCGGATGGTGCCCAGCTTTAAGAATGTTCTTGGACTTATTTCAGTCTCATTAGATTGGAGGCCATCCATCGCTATTAGGTTGGAAGCCATCGGTAGTAATGAAATTAGATATAAATGTTTTCTATAATGTTATATAACATTGAACATCTCAACGCATCACTCGCCCAACTCTGCCGCGGCGCTCCACGCGGCTTCTTCGGCTTCACCTGCTGCTCCGGAGGCTCCGGCTTCTGCTCCGGCTTGACCTCGGTCTAGGCGCGGCTTAAAGCCTTGAAAGTAACGAAAGAAAGGCTCAGAACCTAAGCGCAAGATACAAGTATGCAAACTGCCTGTACGCAAAACCGATTGGTGCATCCTCGGACATCCCCCAATCTAGTAATTATCCAGCATGCAGCATGCAGGGCCGCAAGGTTTGAACGGCAAAGCTTCAGTGCCTTCCAAGCTGCATGACGCAAACCAGCAAGAGCAACCCAGTCAACCTCTCTGGAAACAGGCACTGCACTGTCACACTGTGAACGCCGCTTCCTACAACGGGTGTGCTACCTGTACATACTGTACCTGCGCACTGTGCTTCTTCAGGTGTGTGCGTGTGTGTCCACACCTGCTCCTAAGGAGTTTGCACGGAATAATTCACTTGCGGATACTTTCGGTGAAGTTTACGCGGTTTGCAGGGGGTCCAGGCAATTGTGATCTGGCCCTGGACCAACGAAGACGGGCTCACAACTGGTGAAGCGAGAAGGGGCGCCTTCTTGTGTACCTGCACAAATTTTAAGAGTGCGAAAAAGGTCTAATGAGCTTTAAACGGCTAAAAAGCGAAAACCAATTGTTCAAACACCTTCAAATTCGCGGACTCCATCACCTTTCGGTTCTAGCCTCTTTCCGTTCCATCGAGTCAAGGGCTAATGAGTGTAAAGTGGAACTTCATCAACTGATTCAGCTCTTGCGAGCATCAATCTAAGCGTGTGTCGCCACAGAGTCCCACTGAGGGCTGTGGTGTGATCCCCACCGAGGGGCGCAGCATGTGCGTAGACCCATTTCTCGGGGACTCCCGCTGATTTCCATCTCCCTCTCTCTTGTGACCTTCTTTCAGAATACCACAGGCTCGTTTCGTTTTGCTTGAGATTCCTGATCGAATGCCGCAGGGCTCACTGAGATCGAATGCCGCAGGGCTCACTGAATATCTTTGAATGCGCATGTGCGACACATTAGACGAAACAGCTTCAGACGTGTCTTGTCGACTTCCAAACATTTTGCTTGAGGCTTGTAGGTTTCAGGTGAAGCTTTAGTCAAGGGAGCGCCGTATACGGCCGAGCGTGAGGAGAGTAAGAAACGTGAGCACAGAACCAATAGGGGAGCAACTATAAGTAATCTCTTTTGGTTCTTTTGGTTTTTCTTTCTTGCTGTTGCTTTCCGCTTTCTTGAGGCCTTTCTTTAGGTTTTAGGTGCCTTTCAGTCAAGGGAGCGCCGGTTGCGGCAATGCTTCAGCGCCGGTGACGGCAGTGCCTTAGGGCCACACCCCCCCTCCTTGCACGAGAATTCACACTTCTTATACCACCCTCTAATTAGGGTAACAGAAGGAAGTCGCACTCAACACACTTGTGTGCTGGTGCCTTTCCTTTTGTTTCTCCTGTCCTAGTCTTTCCTACCCGGGCGGTCTAAGACTAAAGTCCCGCTCGCTAACTATTGCACCTAATTCATTCGGCTAAGTAGTCAGTAACTAGAAGGCTTCATAACTAGTGGGCCTCGTAATTACTCCTATCTTTCTCTCTTGCCCTCTTCGTTTGCTCTTTCTGTCTTTTCCTTTCCTTTCGTTCTAAGGCTTGTTAGGTGGTTAGTAAATCTTTTGAACGCCGATATCGGCATTCTGTGTGTCCACACCTGTTCCTAAGGAGCTTGCACGGAATAATTCACTTTCGGTGAAGTTTACGCGGTTTGGAGGGGGTCCAGGCAATTGTGATCTGGCCCTGGACCAACGAAGACGGGCTCACAACTGGTGAAGCGAGAAGGGACGCCTTCTTGTGTACCTGCACAAATTTTAAGATTGCGAAAAACGTCTAATGAGCTTTAAACGGCTAAAAAGCGAAAACCAATTGTTCAAACACCTTCAAATTCGCGGACTCCATCACCTTTCGGTTCTAGCCTCTTTCCGTTCCATCGAGTCAAGGGCTAATGAGTGTAAAGTGGAACTTCATCAACTGATTCAGCTCTTGCGAGCATCAATCTAAGTGTGAGTAGTGTGCGAAATGTGTGCATCTGTATAACAATTGTCTTGCCGATGCAATTCTAGAAACTTACCCCATGGTGTGCGATATGTAATTGTTCTTTCTTGTGACAACCTCGGTCCGCTCTGCCTCCGGCTTCCGCTCCTCTTCCCAGCGCCGCTCTGGAAGGGTGGGGCAGCGACGAATCCAGGGAGCGGCCTTGCGCCACTGAGCATTCGTCTTCATGGCAGCCTAAGAGCGGAGTAATCATCGCGAAGCTTTCACTCCGAGTGAAAGATAGTTCAAGCGTCTTGTATTGATTGTTTCATCTGGCTTGCTTGATGTTTGTAGGGGTCTATCCAGGTATTTCGGTCGTTTTGATGTCGAACCTTGACATCCTGCAGCTCTTCCATGCTGGAGGCGGACAGGGCAGCTGCCTTGATCTTGGACATTCGATGCAGTTCTACCTGAAGTGATACATTCCTCAGGGCTCGGCCAAAAAGCGAAACAAGTAGGCGGTTGCAAATGATGACAAAGACATGCAGCGGCACTAAGAACTGCCGAGCCAGCTCAGGCCACAGTTCAGACGAGTCACTCCTCATCTACCCCGTCGGACTCCTGCCCAAAAGCATTGGCGAACTCGTATCTACTCTGTACCGACTCTGCAACTAAGAACCACTTAAGAGCTCCTCACTGGACTCTGAAGTTGTGGACTTTTTGGGCAAGTAGGCTGCAACTTGTGAGCGCACCTTGGCATTTGATGATCACAATGGTTCTCGGACGGGAAGTAAATCGCGCCTGGTGCCACGTGTCGTACTGCACTGGGCCCGAACTCCTGGGTCCAAACTGGACAAACAAACAAGCTACTAGTAACAAAGGGCATCGCTACTAGTAACAAGGACATACAAGGACGCTACTAGGGGGGCTCCTGGCCTTACTACTAGGAACAAGAAGCTACTAATTAATAACAATGGGCCTCGCATCAAGGTGTATCCCAAAGGTCTTCATGGTTGGTTGCATGCCCAGGCCTCCGCGTGCCAATGAGAGGGTACTTCACCTGAGCATCTTCTGCTTGGTCAGGACCATCAGCCCCGAAACCACCTCAGAAGCTGAGTGAAGAGCAAGGGAGTTCAACATTGTTCAACTTGTCCGCCTCCAAGTTGAAAGTCAGCTGGAGCTGCCGCAGCTGCCGAAACTCTTCGCAAGCGACGCAGGCCACCACGGCGAGTGGACAACTTAGCCTGGAAGAGTGGGCAAACTCGTTTTAAATGTAGCTCACTTGCCATGTCACTTCCACTTTGCTTCCTTGCCTGATGACGACATGTTCTGGGCATAGGTCCTGGCATCATCACAGGTGAAAAGGAAAGATGTTCTTCATATAGAGGTCTGAAGCTTGCAATACAATGTCACCAACTTGAAGAAGATTGGAGTGGTGAAGAAATGACAATGCAAACATAAAGCAGAAAAAGACGCTTCCTGCTCCTTCTAATCTCTGCTGAATTGGCAGCAGGCATCTCACACATGATGAAATTTAGTGTTTAATATTGTTTTCCGAGCTTGTTTGCGTAGGGGTTTTGTTTGCATCACCTTTTCATCATGTTTTTAACCAACTGACCATAGTTTGGTTGTATGTGCAAATGTTCAATTCAATTTCACCTGGTCCGAAATCTGCCCTTTCTGAACATTCATGGCTGCTGGATGAAAGCTCAGCATCACACACCGAGGAATATCCAAGCGCTCACTACCAACTCAATTGCACGAAGCACCGCAGTTCTGGGATCTGCACTCTCACTTGGTCCTTAGATTTGAACACCCCAATTGGGGATTGTAACATGTTCAATCCTGGTGGAGCACTCCTAAAACATGCCAAGGGACATCGAAGCCGCTGCCACGGAGCATAGTACATCCACATCCTGAGACTGCACCGACATTTCCACAGGCAAATACCAAAGAAAGAAGCATATGGCATAGTAGCGTCCTTGCTCCTAGTAGCGTGGCACTTGTTACTAATTGCTTCTTGTTACTACTAGTAAGGCACTTGTTACTAGTAGCGATGCACTTGCTCCTAGTAGCGTCCTTGCTCCTAATAGTAAGGCCAGGAGCCCCTAGTAGCTTCTTTCTCCTAGTAGCGATGCCAGGAGCCCCTAATAGCGTCCTTGTTCCTAGTGGCTTCTTGAATCATGCCAAAATGACGGGCAGGACTCTTTTTTATCAAGGGTGCGTGGATTGTATGGACATTGCAAGAAGTGAATGAAGATTCCGAGGCATGATGAAAGGTCAGCATGATGACATTGCATGTACAACATCTATCTTGGACGACCTGTGCACACTAGGTCACTAGGAAAACTCTTATGGACGAGGCTTTTTGGCTCACTGTGTCAGATACTCTCACATCCTCACTACAAAGCCCACAAGAAGCGATAGAATGGCCCTGTAGGGGCACCGTAGACATGTTCAGGATTCATCATGTGCAATGCCCCCGCACTGCGCCCACTGTAGGCCCTGAGCCGGGGCCATAGCGGAGTGCTTTGTCCCTCGTAGAGCTGCTGCACGTTCACTTCCAAGCACCTTTTGAGATTCGCCCCAGTGCTACGAGGTGCTGAAATGAAGACTAGGAACAAGGACGCTACTAGGGGCTCCTGGCCATACTACTAGGAGCGATCGGACGCTACTAGGAGCAAGTGCCTTACTAGTAGTAACAAGAAGCAATTAGTAACAAGTGCCACGCTACTAGGAGCAAGGACGCTACTAGGAACAAGAAGGTTTGCAGTTCATCACTCTACCGCTACCTCCCACTGAGCCCATCTGAGGCCGTTGGCTTGTCTGACTTGTCGTTGACCAGGAACGCCCAAAGCTCGTCCATGCACTGCTGCCTTACAAGGATGGCCAAGGGCATTTCGTTACACACAGCATTCTTTTCTTTTCATTTCCTTCACCTAGTGTTGTCCTCGATAGTTTCCGGAAAATTCCAATGGAAGCCAAACAAGTCCTTCAATTGTGATCCCTCTGTGGCCCTCGGCTCTTGAGTGAACTCCGTGTCTTGCCAAAGGTCCAGAAACTCCGCGAGCAAAGCACGCCGCACGCAATATTGCACAGCGTCTTTGGCCTCCAGAATTCATCGTCCGTCCACGTGAACTGCAAACCTTCTTGCTCCTAGTAGCATCCTTGCTCCTAGTCGCGATGCCAGGAGCCCCTAGTAGCTTCTTGTTCCTAGTCATGAACAAAGTGACCTATTGAGATCTTAAATGCGCATTCCATCATCCGAGTCACGAAGACTTCTCTCGGGGTCGAAGCATGTGCATTCAGTTACAACTTGATGCGCCTCGTTCATCCCTTCCAAGTCACCATCCGGCAGCTGCAGCCGCCTGATGCAACAGGTCGGTCAGAATCCACTTGAACTGCTAGAGCCAAGCACATGGGCCATGAGACGCGCCTGTTCACCTCGACGGCAGACTTCAGCAGTGGGACCCCCTGGAGGACGACTGTCACTCAACGAGATCACGAGACCGAGACTCGAGTGAAGCCAGACGATCGTGCCTGTACTGGCCGGACGATCAAAGGAGCCATTGTCGCCAGGCACTTGTCTGGGCCAGGCACCTGTGCTCAAACAGAAAACTGGAATAGTACAGCATATCTACTGCAATTGATATGTGCGGCAGCATTTATTTGGTACTAAACTCAAATACACTAATCTATTATGTGGGGGCCCTATCTCGTTTAGACTACTTAAGTAGGAGGTCATGTCACAGTATCTCGTTCAGACTTTAGTAGCAAATCACACTATCTCCTTGAGACTACTTTAGTGTCATCAAGCAAAAGTATCTCGTTTATGTGGGGGCCCTATCTCGTTCACAAGCGAATACTGATGATAGACAAGCAA